ACCTTCTAAAAATTAATTTTTATGTTCTTCCAAAGACTTCTCCAAAAGAGTCAAAAGAGAACCTACAGATTGGGAAAAAATATTTGGTAATAACATACCTGACAAGGGACTTATCTCTAGAATTTATAGAAAACTCCACCAGCTCAACAACAAAAAAACAAATAGTCCAATTTAAAAAGGGGAAGAAGACATGAATAGACATTTCACCAAAGAGAATATTTAGGTGGCCAACAACCATATGAGGAAATGCTCACAATCATAAGCTATTAGAGATGTAAAAACCAAAGCAACAATGACTTACGATCTTGCTCCAGCACTAGTAACAAGTTCAGCAAGACAGAAAATAACAAATGCTGGTGATAATGAGGAGAGACTGGGATTGTCATATACTGCTGGTGGGACTGTCAAATGATACAACCACTGTGGAAAGCAGTATGGTGATTCCTTAAAAAGTTGGAATTAGAAATATCATTTGACCCAGCCATTCTATTACTAGGTGTATATCCTAAAGAAGTGAGAGCCAGGACAAGAACAGATATACACACACCCATTTTCATCACAGCACTATTTACAACAGGCAAAAGATGGAGCAAACTAAGTGCCCATCAACAGAAGAATGGATAACCAAACTTTGGTACATACACACAATGGAATGCTATGCAATCCTAAAGAATAATGTAGAATCTATAAAACATTGCATCACGTGGATGAACTTTGAGGACATTATGCTGAGTGAAGTCAATCACAGAAGGACAAATATTTTATTAGTTCGTTATTGTGAAAACTCACAAGATTTATATATGAAAGGAAATTTTCTTTTTGGTTACCATGAGTAGGAGGGTAGGGAGGGAACACTGTTAGATAGGTAGAAACAAGTATTCATTTGGGTGAAGATAAGAACAATGTACCAAATGTGAGTGGTCAACATGGTGGCATTGAGGAAGAGAAAGTCATAGAGAGGTGCATGGGAGGTATAGAAAACATAGATGAACCCTTTTACACATACAGTGCTGCATTGTCAGTGAAGGCAAACATTGATCTATGGGTGGATAGATGGGTGGACAGGCTGAACTATTGGGCATGTCTATTCAGGCAGTATTGTGCCTAAGACCACGTATAGTGCTGGCAGACAGTATTTCTACAGGTGTCTTTGTATGTTGTGTAAGAATGTCCAGGTGTATAGTAGAGCTGACAAGGGACAAGGTTGTAGTCACTTCTTGGGCATAGCCAGCTACCCAGAGAAAGTGAGTAATTGGATCTGTGGGGTGGGACCATAGTCGCAGGGGACATCAAGCTCAACTGGCATAATGTACTACACAAAAACATTGTTCCACATCTTACCTTGGCAAGTAGCAACTGGGATCTTAAAAGCTTACAAGCGACTGTCTAGATGGGTCTCTCCTTATCCAGAGCAAAGAAGAATGAAAAAAACCAAAGATACATGGAAAGAATTAGTCCAAGTGGCTGGTACACTATGCAATCCTCAGCCTATACAACTATGAGACCAGAAGTAGATGGTGCCCAGCTACCACTGTCAACCACTTGGAGGAGAATCTATATAGGAGATGCTGGATAGAGTGGGAGAACATAGTGGAACAAAACTCAAAATTATTATTGAAAAAAAAAAGGACCAGATTTTCTGGTCTGAAAGAGCCTGATAGAACCACTGAGACTGGCCCCTAGCTGCCCTTCAGGTCTGGAATTGAACCCACTCTTGTGGCTTCCAGCCAAACAAAAGACAGGCATATGAGTTGAACATTTACCTGAGGTAAGATATACTTCTTGGAGGGAACAATCATGGGAGAATAGAAGGGCTGTGCATGCACAGGGAGACAGCTCAGGGGGCAGGAGTGCATGGAGGGATGGACACAGGGAAGAGGTAACTATGGGGAGGAAGTGGGAGGGGAGCTGTTGCATTGTGGGAAATTGCAGTCAATGTTACAAGACAAAGTGCATGTGAGCTGCTTTATGGAAAGTGAATTTGCTCTGTAAATTTTCACCCAAATCCCAATTAAAAAAAAAAAAAAAATATATATATATATATATGCCAATTCAATAGTTTCCACATATATAATTCAGTGACATTGATTATATTCTTCATGTATTACAACCATTATCACTATTCTTTTCTGATGTCTAGTCCTTTTTTTAAAGGAACACTTTCTGTCTATTATACTGTTGTTTACCATAAAACCCTTCTATTAAATGGCAAAGAATAGAATATGAGTGTTATCAGAATTAGAAAATTTAAGACAACAAGTCTTGAATTGATAAGAAATGAAGATTGAGCTCTAAGCATAGTAAGGGTTAGGTTCTATGTGCCTCATTTACTTGTATTTCCTAGTCCATCTATTTTATAATACCAATCCTTGATAATTTTAACTTTTTCTCTTAACATAGAAGTATAATGTACTGTATCACGATGCTAGAAGAGGAAATGAATGTCTGATTATGTTAGTTTCAAGGTTTCAAAAGGGGATGTATTTGGA